TTCCTGCACCTTTTATTTTTTATGGGATTTAAATTTTGTTCAGTTGAATACTGTGGAAGACAGCACTGTTTTTTTGGGGTTTTTTTAATTAAGAGGAAAAATGATTTAACTTATCAGAAATGTTAGAACAAAATCTCAAGCTTAACACATACATAGGAGAGCAAACCTGTCTGGGTAGTTAGTCTCATGCCTAGGACCTCTGAAAACCATAGAGGCTTCCTTGCCTCTAGGCAAACCTTTCAGTTTGCACACTGCACACTTCTGACCTCAGTCTTTAAACCTGGATCATTGCTATTTTAAAATTTTCCCCCTGCTAATTTTTCCAAGGAAAAAGCTAAAGGCCACATCAAAGAAACTTTAAGGCAGTCATGAAATACCCAAGTCTACTTCCTACAGCAAACATGACTAAACTGTTACACATAAAAATATTAAAAGTTAATCCCACCCAGTGATCTATGAGGTGCTATTTCTGCACACAAAACAGTCGAATCATGGCTGCCCTAAGGGCATTAAACTGATATTTATCCATTCTGGTGAATTTACAAGTTTGGCTTCTGAGCACTAGTGCTAATACCTCCAGATCTAATGACAATTCTTTACAAAAAGAGAATGTCTAAGTGATTGCAGCTATGATCTTGTATCTCAAGTATCAGAACCACAAGAAGCAGGAAGATTACAGAACACAGACCCATCCTAAAAATTTCAAATTATTAATCAACTTGAACATACAATCCTAGAGCTGTGCTTACTAGTTACCATACTCCTTGACTGAAAACTGGTCTCAGGAGAAGAGGAGGAAACTGAAAGACACTGAGCAGTGTAGCAGATTCTAGAGGGGACAAACCACATCATGCCTCCCTGATGCAACCCAGGTCAGAATAAATTTTCCTGAGTGGCATCAAGTTGGTTTTGCATTCTTCTAGCTCTCAGTGAAGAGGAATTGGACAACTCTTGCAAAGCCTCTTCAGAGTTAAAATACAACCACCTCATTGCTGCCAGCCAGGGAAGCTCTCCATATCCACTGGGAGCAGCCACCAGTGAGCTAAAGCTACCTAGTCCACAGCTCTGGCATACACTGCCTTCCATGGCATAACCATTTCTGATCCTCCACAGAAGATGTCATGCTGACACCAGACTGGCAAAATAGCCATGGCCTTACTTCTTAGCTATGGCCTTACTTCTTTAAGAGACATGCATGGCACACGTTCCTAGAGGGCCAGTGATGCCATCACTCCAGCATTACCAGCACTCTTGACAGCTGAGGTTAAACTTCACCTTAGTCCCCCAACACCCTTTATCAGGCCTCAGGGTTCCCCTGCAGCCTGGCAGACATGCTGACACTCCAGTTTACAGGAATTCTCAGGTGCCTGGGCACTGCACCAGGTCCTGCTGTGCTTGGCTGGGCTGTGCTGCTGCGGCTGCCTAGTACCAGACGCTTCTGTATGTCCATCAGGAGAGAGGCAGCAAGGCCACAGATAAAACCAACACTGATTTTCCTCTACTTTATCACTGGATAGGAACCAGCTGTGGCAATCAAAGTCATTTCCTAAGAGAGTATTCTGCTCAAGGATTTACCAGTATAAACTAGAGATTACATGCAGCCTTTTATCAGCAAGTTAAGCTCACCAAAAAGCATCCTAGTTTACAGTTACAATTAAAGAAAATCATCTTCCAGGACAGAAAGCCAGAAGATTTTTCCTTCTAAGAATCAGCTATGCAACAGACACTGGAGGAAAAAAAAAAACCTCTAGGGAAAAGGGCCAGAAAGCAAAATTCATTAATTAAGTCAAATGTCTCTACAGAAATAAAGACTAAATCTCCATATAAACTCAAGTATGTAAGTGAAACTTCATGTAATTGTAAATATGTAATGAGTAGCTTATATTCATGGTAATTAGACAATCAAGTTCAAAGCCTCAGCAGTGCATAGGAAATTGCAAAAAGGTTTATTTTTAGATACTCAATACTGAAAATTTGTAGAGCACAAATCAAAACTCCAGGGCAAAAGAGGCTCTGCTGCTCTGACCCACATGATTTTCTCTCCACGCCCCTGGCTTTGCCAAACCACCTTTTCCCACTGCAAGCCACACAGGATTTCCTTTCCTCTCCAGCTGCTGTGCTTCCACTTACCTGATTGATTGTGTGTGCCGCTTTTGCTTTATCTATTAAACTGTCCTTATCTTAACCCATGAGTTTCCTCACTTTTACTCCTCTGATTCTCTCCCTGATCACAGAGAAGAGGGCAAGTGGTTGTATGGGGTTTGGTTGCCAGCTGCAGTTAAACCACAACAAAGTGTTAGAACAGTTTGCTGACTTAGAAAACTCAGTTCTGATTTCTTTGTTCTATAGAGGGTAGTAATCACAGATGCATGCAGGGGGAATGCTCACACAAGGTACACTTTTGGTCTTTCAAATGTTAGTTGCTTTTTGGCAGGACTTTCCAGCTCTCTGTGGTGTGCAAAAAAGGACTATATAGGGGACATTCAGACCAGCACTCACACTGCAAAGCTGGATGTGCACATACATTTTTTGTTTACCTACATCCATATCTCCTCTCTTCACCACTCTCACCCTCCCAAAGGGATGTGCAAATAGGGTCACAATTTGTCTTCTGGCAACTCAGGAAAATTCAGAGAAGTTAAAGAAAAAAAAACAGGAACAGACAGGACACTATGAAATCTACAGAGATGAGAAAGATTAAAAATAGGAAGAGAAAACCTGAGTTCACTAAGATAAGAGTCTGTGCCTCTATATGTAATAGAAATTTTATCTTAAGTCTAAAAAAACCAGTCTAAGCCATCCACTTTGCTATTTTTACACTCAAATGAAGGACCCTAACAATCCTGCCACAGAAAAGTTTGTCCTCTGCAAACATGTAGCTAGGTAAAATCATAGTCCCAGCTGCTGCCTATATTTCTGTAAAAGGAACATCGTTGTGTCTTTGCTGCATGGCAGACTTATCGGTGGCAGATACCATGCAAGGTCTGGAAGAGATAACAGGCACATTATCAGTAGCAACTACGAAACTCCTTCTTGTGTGCTCTCACATGGTGATATTTATTCTGCATTTAAAAATACTGTCTCAGTGCCTGAGTCGAAGTATTTTACTGCACTCACTGCTCCTACTCATGCTCCTGGATCTAAGTACAGGACACACAAGTGAGGTTATTTTTGTACAGTAGAGCATTAAACATTTCCAGCACTCTTATGGCAAACTCCCAGGGCATTCTCCAGCACAGAAAACATCACAGAATCCACCAAATGCTTTAGGTCTTTGGTTCCCTTTCATAAACAAGCCTTTCCTACTTTCCATCCCCACCGCATTCAGCAGAACCAGATTTGTAACAGCACAAATCTCCCTTTGTGAGTCATTTTAATCTGATGTGCTAGTGCCTGAGTGGAGGGCCCTGGATCATGGCCAAGTGTCCTGCTTTCACTCTCTTGGGGGGACACTAACCTCCAGCAGGTGACTGCACTGGGCAGCAGCAAGGATATGGGAAGCTGTCACAGCAAGATACATCAAATCTCATGCAGGTTTTAATCCTTCTCTTTTTTTCCTCTCCCTTCTTATTCTGAAGTGAACAAGTATTTGCATGGAAAGGACATGACCCACTCACTCTTCATGGAAATGAGCTGTAGAAATACTAAATGTGTGTAAAAGGCAATATATCTGCAAGTTTTGCATTACTGTGAAATACACCCTATGCTCATGTAGTCTCATCCTCCCAAAAAGAGGGCACAAAAAGAGGAATGATCGTGGATACAATGGACACACACTGCTTTCTCGTCTGCTATCTGCATTGCTTACCTTCATTAACAGCATGAGGCTTAATAATGCAACAAGTACAGTTTGTGAATTTTGCACTGCTGACTGGTCCACGACCTCCACTGGAGGGAAAGAACAACTCCAGCTCCTGAAAACAATTGTAATTAAACACATTTTAGATTGATCTAGCTGCACACATCAGCTTATATCATAAGTAACAACATCTGAAGTATCCATAATCACAGAAGATAAACCTTCAGTGCAGACTTTTTTTTCTACAGATACTTCTTCCCTGAAATGTTATCTGAAATGTATCTTTTCCTCTCTGGCACCATTGCTACAATCATAAAAACAGGACTAGAGTATTTCTTGCAATGTTTTCCTTTTCAGTTCTGCAGTGCAATCTGTTCACACTCGGAGCATTCAAAATGCTGATGCAACAATCATTTGGTAGAGGTGTTCCCAGTTTTACCAAGCTCTCTCTTTCTCTTTCCTCAGTGTCCTTCCAAATCCACTCCCTTATACACATTTTTTTTTCCTTTATCTCAAATCATCTTTTCCACTGTATAAGCAAAAATATAACTACTATCCATTTCTCATGTTTTCTTTCCAAATACAAAACTGACCTCCTTCCAAATTGCTTACATTTTTTTCCTTTCACCTTAAACAATTTAACTTTGTCTAAAATTGCTGAGTCACTTCTCATGCCATATTTGCCCTATAATTTTTTTAAGTCTTACTGAATTGAAGCTGATTAACTCAATTTGATTGAGCTTTGATTTCCCAGATAAATCAAAGGAACTTTTTTGCCTTCAATCTCTTTCTTCCCACCATCCCTATTTAGGTATCAGGTATCTTGGGTCTTAGACCATACTGGGGTGAACCTGGCAGTCAGGTTTCTTTCCTTGGTGATATTTTTAATCTGTTCACTGCCAGCTTCACATTTTTCTATCCCATTTATTCACGTATGTTACACAATCTGCCAATTCACAAACATGCAAAACACAGGTTCCATTTCATACCTATTAGTCAAATTCAGTAAGAGAATTGATACATTTCTATTTAAAAGAAAAAAATTACATGCAAGAAATACTGCTAACAAATGTATTTGATTTTTTCCCTGTATAACAGTAGCAGTGCTAAAGGCCATTTCCAGGAATTGTCTTCCTTAATTTACCAGCTCAACTTAAATGGAATAGATTCACATTTAGCTCATGGCACTTCAACAATTTCTGTAATCCTTTCCTTAAGAATTACACAATTCAAACTTGTCCTGGTTTGGATCTTGGACAATGGATCCTGGACGATGAGTCTTTCAACAGACGGAAAAAGGGCCTTTGTTTTTCTGCTGGCAAATAATCCACATTTTAAGTGGGCACATCTGAGACAATAGGGTCCACTCCTTACATCCTTCTACTGATAAAATGCTGCATGATTCAAGGAACTTGTCCCACTCCGTTAATTGCTATTTACTCTAAAAGAAGCAGCCAGAAAAAGGCAGCAAAATATGTATAATATTTAACACTTATTTTTATCCATTAAAATTCATAAAAGAAAATGAACTCAATAGTGCCGAAGGACTGGCATAATGAAAGGCCAAACTATAATCTTGTGGAGCCTTAAAAAAACAACAAAAAAATTTCCTTACCTTTTATTCGTGATCTAAAGAAATTACAAAATTTGGCCTGCAGAGAGACAGTAGCTTAGAGTGTATCAGAGACATTCTTTCACTTGTCATTTAGCCATCAAAAGAATAATGCAGCTTTCTACTCTAAGTGTTCAGCTTACAATACGTTCATTAAATGTGGTTGAGACTTCAGTTTTCTGTCAGGAGAGTTCATTTAGGTCCCTTTATCTTTTATTTCTTTCTTTTCAGCAAATCTTCTGCAGGCACAGCCAGCTAGTTTCCATAGCAACTGCTATACAGCCATATGATACTAGGCCTACTAAATTAATAAAGGCATAGGGGCACTAAATTCACAATTTTGCTTGATTTATTAAAGATAGGTATCAGTAACACCACAAAGATGCACACACCTACAGATGTTCAGCAAAATAATCCCAGTGTCATTAAAATGCTGCAGATAAACAGGGCCTTCAGACAGCATTTCAAAAATAATGAAATTCAACAAGAACAACAAACTAAAACCTAAGCACACACTTATGCATCTAACCAAGAATTTATGCTAATAGATACTCTTTCCTACATTCTCAGTTCAGAAGCTGGCACAGTTGTCATGGTAGTACAGAGGAAAAGAGAAATTTTCACCTTTATATTTGAAGTCTTCTAAATATTTAACCGGAACTCCAAAGACTTTGCTGGCTATAACTCTGCTTCATCAGAAAAGATCACTTTTATCCAAACTCTGAGTCTGTAACATGTTCATCAAGGCAGCAGAAAAAGTACTTTATGCCCAACATCTGATTTCTTGCCAAAACCCAAGGCACAGGGAGAGGATCCAGCAGCTCAGGCAGAGTGCAGAGCAGCAAGGTGAGTGCTTGGCCAACAGAAAACCACCCTGTGCTTTGCAGTCAGCCTGCTGTAGCTCACAGCCTAACAGTACCAGACAGAGAGGCTGCCCACCTCTGCCCTCACCACCAGGGTATGATCTCTGGGCACATTTTCTAGCATACACTACTTGGCAGTTTATGAGATATTCTGAGGCAGGACTCTCCCCAGCTGAGCTACTGCAGCTGTTCCAATTTAAACAGACAGAAGACTAGAATCAAGGAAGCAACAACGGATATCTTTCCCCACCTAAAGTGGTCTACAGCTCAGACACCACAGCAACACATCAATCAACCATGAGATAAACTTTATTCTTGCCATCCTTTATTAGCATATCTATCCCACAACAATGCACACAAAAGTCACCATAATTCTATGGAAATGGTAACATCTATTACCCAGCCCCAGGGCTTCTTCTTAGCACTGAGAAAAGAAACACTGCAAACAAAGGAAAACACAACTAAACTCCTCAAAGCCATGCCCACTGTGTTACCTCTCAAAGCACAAAGCACTACAAAGTGGCCTGGTTTTGAATGTTTCATTCTGAATAATAACAGCAAAGTAGGCTGCAAGCAGAACACTAGTGAGAGCTGTGAAGGAGAACAGATATGTGAAACACAAGAGAGCACAAAAGGATTTAATTGTTTAATCCCTTTCTTTTTATGACCGACACTGTTAGACTATAGGTAGATTATACAGACTATGCAATTAACTCACGGTTTGTGATGTACAGGAGACATTAAAAATGACCAGGCATGCTCTCCTGATCAAAGCACCCAAGATTCACCCTTGTGATAAACAAGATTTCTGTTTTCAGACAGTTTATTCTTCCATGCTAAAAAGGAGCCATGAAAAATATGTAAACTAGTTCCAAATTCAAGTGTGGAAACAAAGGAGAAATTCTTAATCCGGTTGTTAGCAGATAAAAGTAAAAATAAACCTCAGTCAAGAAAGAGTCAAAATCTTACTTTAGCAGCTGAAGCAACTGAATCTGGGCCATGAGCTGCATCTCTGAGGCCAATATGTCCAAAGCTTTCTGAGATGCTGTCCAGTGTATCACTCTCAGTCGCTGTAGGGTTTGCTGGCCCCACCATTGCTCTCCACTTACTCACTGCATCATCTCCTAAGAGCTCCATAGCCAGGATGGGGCCACTCATTATTAACTGGAGAAGCTCACTGCAAAATGGAAAGAGCACATGGTGACCCATATTACAAATTAAAACCAACGAAAACATGATCCAGTGGAGATGCTCAGAACTCAACTTGGCAAGACCTCGAGCACCCTGATCTAACTTTCACATTGACTCTGATTGGAGGAAGAGGTTAGAGAATGTCATGTGCAGACATTCCCTTATTATGGTTGCAGAAAAAAACCAACACATACATAATCCAAATTCACTCAAACTACTCTGTAAACTCTTAGATTTCAAAAGAATTTTTAAAGGATCAGTACTGGTGTCCTGGTAACAGTGACAGAGAGACTCTGGTAATGACTTGTCTGACAGGAATGATTCCTAAGTTTTCCCATTCTGCACAGCAGCATTTCAAAGCTCTCATGTGAGCATCTCTCACATGAGACCTGGATGTGTACCCTACTGACAGAACAGCAGCACTGCTTTCAAGCTAAATTTTCCACAGCCCCACAGATCTCTCCTATGGATTTTGCCCAGCCAAAGTCCAAAGTAGGAGAGAAGGGAAAGAATTAAAAAGTTTGTATGGGATAAAGGACTTACTCACAAAGTGAGTTACTACATCTTGGCATAACTCAAGTGACTTTAATGGGATGAATCCAAGTAAGAAGAGGCTGTCAGGATCAGCCTGCCTCATGTCCTGACCACCTCACAACAGCAAACAACCACCCAAAATTGCTAGCCCAAACATTCCATTTAAAAACTAAACAAAACACCATAACTATTATTTCAGTATCTTCAGAAAACATGTATACCAATAAGCCTGTCTTTTTTCCCTGTTTAGTCTGGACAGAACCAACAAAGGAGAACATTGACATGATTTTTGTATTATTTTGTTTAAAAGAAGAGCTTTACACAACTATAATTGTGGATGTACATGCTTCTCCAACTACCTTCTTCCTAATGATCACTAGTCAAGAAGATAAGAGAAATCCTAGTAGTTTTTGAAAAAGAAACACTATTAAAACTACAAAAAAGCTACATAAACAACACAATAAAAAACTACTGGAAGTCAGGTTCTGTTGGTCATAGTCAACATGTTTAGGACATTTAAATAGTACACATACATACACCCAAGAAATAAGTAATTTCTACCACATTATTTGCAGATTAATCCTTGAATATTCTTTTTTTAAAACTCTTTAATATGAAAACCATTCTTTTCCAAGCAATAGGATTATTATTTTTCCTTATTATTCACTAGACTTACATTGACTAGTGAACTTGCAAACTAAATCTGAATTTAAAGACAAGATACAACATCAAATATAAATGAGTTGTAGATTTCACACTTTACTGCCTTGAAGTTTCTTGTTTCTATTTGATTTGGAATGCTGTAAAGCTACTTATTTCTAATGCAGAGAAAAATCCTGTACAGAAGATGTAGCCAATAGGGCTGTAGGATGGGAGACAGGCACATCACAGTGGACAAAGGCTACAGTTCCTCAGACAATTACCTTTAGTATGGATACACATCTGTGAAATTACACTGCAGGCAAAATTCTTGATTATTTATCAACATATTCAAGCAGGCTTACTCAGCAAAGAAAAGGCAATTTCAAATCATCCATTCTCCGACCTCCAACATGGTCAGACATAGCCTGGGGCCATGTCTCTCTGAAAGGCTTGAGTTTGGACCCACAACAAAATCAGCTGCTCTTGCTGGAGAGCAGCTGGCAATGCTAATTCTTAAGCACTTTGTGAAAGTGCTGATATCAGGTCTTTCAACCACACCAGTGCAAACCCAGGCACCAACATGCCTGAAAAACAAGGCACCTTCTTCCTTAAAGAGGCAGAATGCCCAATGGAGAGGGAGGAAAAGGAAGTTGCTGGCACTTTCAGGGGAATCAGAAACAACTCAATCTCTGGGTCATAAGCATCCAGCTGGTCAGTTATGGAAAGACTAAGGTTTCTCACATTACATGAAGCAGTCTAGCATCATGGAAGTTTGACATTTCTCCAAGGGTAGCAGTAGAGTAAAAACTGCCCCATGCACTATCCTTTCAGTTATTTATGATTTGGGGTACTTATTACCAAATCAATTCTTACAACTAAGTGTTCCCCCTAATTCTCATTATCTGCAAGCCCCACCCTGATCCTGAAGATATCCCTTCTCTTGGCTGTGAAGTTTTGCCCTATTAGGAGCATTTTCACTTCTGAGGGACAAAAGACATTCCCCTGATACCACCGGGTTGTAAAAAGTTTGAGTTAAAACCCTGAATAGCTGAAATAAGGATCTCTCCCTGGAGGAAGAAGAAAAGGTGCATGCTTTGCAAAGGGCTCCACTCAACTAAGACAAGCTCTGATTTTCCCATGGTCCTGTAGAATCAAATATGGTAAATTAATTTCATACATTCAATAAATAAGCTTAATACACATCAAGCTGAAATTTATATACCTACTGATAATAAGGTTTTGCTCGATGATCAGCATAGAAATCAGCTGCTTCTTTTCTGGAAAAGTAAAAAGACATAGATATAGCTATATATATATATATATATATATATAAAAAAACCCACAATAATCATTCATTAAAATATCATTCATAAACATGTTTCTACAGGCAATGTTTTCCTAAGCTGGACAACTTGTTGGGTGTTCATGTCCAATAACAGGAACTACATTTAAATTTCTGTCATATTTTGTGTGGCTACCAGTGTAGCTGACAACTCCTTATGTTCCTGCTCTGAGAAGGAATAACTAAAGCCCATTTCAGGGTCACTGATGGTCCCACATTCTCAGGCTGAGAAATAAATGCAGAAGAATCACCTTCTTGCCAAGCCATTTGCTGTTACGTTGCTTTCATCATTCATCAGTTTGAGTGGGGATTTTGGTTAATGAAGTTTGGTTTTAAAGCACAAACAATTTATCTGCTCCACTGGAACACTTCTTTATCAAGGTTAGTGTTTGATTAAACTGGTGCATAACAAAATACTGCATGACCTGGCTTCCACTCAATGTCCTCAAATCTTATAAGTTGCATAGGCAGCACAATGCCCTCCATATTAAAACTGGATTTCTCCCACACTTTCACACTTCAAAACTCAGTTTGGTCTTGCATGTCTCCTCAGGGAACACAGCAGTGACTACATACAGTTTTCTTCCAAAGCAATGGGGTTTCTGCAGTGAGGGGGTCTCCTTACACTGCCAGGCAAATAAAGGCTACCAGGCATACCCAGCATGTCTGCAGCACAGCTGTTACTCAGCCTTTCCTCAGGTGTGGGAAGCAAAGATGTCCTTTTCAGACAGGGTGGTGGCCCTTCCCAAGCTCTACATTGCCACAGCCACACTCTACCAGCACTGGGCTCAGCTACCCAGCTACCCAGATTTTGGGGACCACCACAATGCAGAGCTACCATCCATCCACTGATGGACACACTATTTTGTGGCTTTTCACCCCACCAGCCTGACACCAACCAGCCAACCTATCCTCTTCCCTGTCTTTTTCCCCAGCTGCTTCTCATGTTTCACTCTTGCTTACTGAATTGCTTTTTCTGCATGGCAACAGCTAGAAAAATCCATGGAATTTTTCATCTCTAAACCTGCTATTCTGCAGCTTCAGAATTCCTGTTGAGAACACAGGCTCAGTATTTGCTTGCTCCAAATCCTGGTGTATGCCACTTATTGAAGCTGGAATTTTTAGAGAAGGACAAGCTCTTCAAGAGGATTGACAGGTGAAAGAATGCAATATTCCTAACCTCTGCTCTGGGTACAAAGTTCATAATCAAAGCAGTGCTGTAGGGTGACTAAGAAATTCCAAATTGGAAAGTAGTTTTTACCTGCAGCACAGTGTGATTTTTTCTGGTCTTCATGAGTTTGCTCATTTTGAGCAGCCCTCTTTACTGACATAAATTGCCTGCATATTTTTCAAATAACAGATTCCAAGTATGAACAAAGGCATAGTTCTGTCATCTGAAATGGAACTTTTGATGCCTCTCTCCCATTTGTAGTCCAGACTTAAACCAAATATTGCCAGAGGAAAGAAATAACATCAAGAAGAACCTAAGAAGAATTTAATTTTCTTAACATTTATCAGTGTTTGAACAGTCACATTTTTCTCCAGCTTTTTTATCAAAATTACCTGAATAATTCCTGGTTTGTTGCTTTTAGTTCAGTATAAGTATGAGCCATTCAAAATCCAAAATACTTTTATCAACCATACAGTAAATTTGCTTCCAATTTCCATTGCAAACTAAGGTAGAAGCATGATGTAAAAATGCTAGACACAGGAACTCTTGCAAGCTCATGCTTCAAGCCTACACTCTGCAAAACATTTGCCTACAATTCATTATTTCACCAGAAAATTCTCTTCTGAAATGAATTCACCAAATAATTTTGGAAAGCAAATATGAAAGGGTATGTGAAGAGATTAAGTATTACCAATTCTGATTTCAAGGAAGTATTTGAGAGGTCTGCTTCTGAAACAAACTGAGCTCTACTACTCAGTTAACAATTCCCACTGAAATATCAAAGTGCAGTTGTGTTGTATAACTTAGTTCCTTTTTAATTTCATTATTAGTTCTCTGTTTTCAAATAATGGAAAACAGTGTTCACCTATGTATAACAGAGTGAACTGACACAGGATTAAAGGAAGAGACTGAAGAAGCAAGTGCCTGCCCACACTTTCATATCTTGGCTACAACTTTTACAGAAGGCATGAATCTACTTAACAGTGATTGACAGACAAATGTTGTTAATAATCCCTGTAAAGAAAGGAGTTGATGATGATTTGAACAAGCAAGCCTGCAGAAACCTAAGGGTAGAAGACTTTGGCAAAGCCATAGTTCTATCATTTTAAAATGGCACAGTCCCAAGAAACAGAGTATGCAGAGAAACCACAAAATACTCAAGAGACTATTTAAATACATTCAGTATCACAGCCCAGTCTTGTGCTTATTAATAATTACTTTCAATTATACAAGACAACCAGAAATTTTTATATTGCAGTAGGCAGTAAAAGTTCAAGTCTCCATTTCTTCCCTTCAGTGTGAGTCAACTCTAAAGCACATGACTTGGCTCAAGAGCTTAACTTCTCAGACAGACACTCAAATAAAGCACCACCCAAAATAACACTTCAAGATCAAATTTCTCAGATTGCAGGAGAGAGGAAGCAAAAATAAGGCTAGTTTGAAAGACATTATGAATTGTAAAGAAACATTAGAAACCTGCTTGATTTTGTGAACTGGAGTTGTTGGATGGAGGATCTGGGACCAATACCATCAGACATTGCAGCAGGTGCATGCAGAGATAAGAGGAGGAAGTCTTATAGTCATTTTATCAGAATTTCAGAGAGCAAAAAATGTTCTGAAGTGAAGGAAAATGGTTCCTGACTTCACACATAAACAATAAGAACACATGAAAATGGTATTATGTAAAATAGATAACTTTCCTTTCCAAAAACATGTTGCACACGAATAGGTATGGCAAAGCAGCAATGGAGAAATAATGTCGTAACTTTGGGAAAGTCTTCTAAGGTAAATTAATTATGCTCTCTTTCCTCTGAAGCACACCTTCTTTTAAATCTTAGGGCTCAATAAGAAGTGGAGAACACTGAAGGTTGGGAGGATTAGGAAGATGCATGAGTAAAACCTGTCCAACCCTGCGCCATCAGAAGATCACTTGTTTTGCCTAGGACTTCCAGTGATTAAAAAGCACAAATCTGAGAGCACAAATTTAAGCAACAGATTTACTGAGAGTAAGCAAACCAAATACTTTATAGACAACATTATTAGAGTCAGCAATACTGTCTGTATGAGGCAGCCTTGAGGTGAGGACGTACAGACATGTCAGTCGTAAACACTGCTGGACTGCTAAAGCTATGGTAGCCACCTTGGGTTCATAAAGACATGATGTATTTCATCACCCATACTCATTTGCACATCACTTCTGAATACTTAGCTTAAATCTCTAAAATACTTAAAGAAACCTACCCCTTTCAGAATTATGAAACTGATGAGTTTCATGAGTTACCTCTCTTACTCATTGGAATGGATCTGACACATGGAACAACACAGAGTAGCTTTAGAGAATATTCTTAATTGCGAGAATATTTAGATACAATAGACCTAACCTTAAAAATTCCTTACCTTGAAAGCAGCATCATTTTGGCCTTAGTTATTGTCAATCCTGCATTAATAATGATATCAAATAATTCTCCAATTTTACGCATTCCATCAGGTTTAATCAAAGCCAGCGTTCTGGGGAGGAAGAAAAAATAGTAGAGAGATAGAGCCAACATGACTTTTCTTAGAGCATTTGGTGTGTATGCTGGGTTCACATTCAGACAAAAAAACCAGCACATCAAAGAGAAAAGTTTTGTCACAGTCACATATTCACTGTCCCAGTGTCTCATCAATTTCCATGCTGTTCTTGAATGGCCGTGCAACACATTATTCTGATAAGAACAAGCTTTGCACATTATAATTTCCATGGCTTTCTAACCCAAGTCAGCTCACAGTGTTCCACCAGCAGTTACTATTTACCAACTTGTCCCTCTGCTCTTGCAGCACACAATTTGACCACCTCTTCCTTAGCAAATTGGTATCTTGACAGCTCCTCACTCTGGGTTAGAACATAACTGAATTGTTAATCTCTCCTTGTGCTTGCTTAGCTCCCTTTTTTCCTAATGTTAATCATACACATAAAATTGAAGCTGTTAAAATTCCCTGTTTAAAAATATTACTTAAACATGTGCCTCTGCCATAAAACTCAAAGTTAAATGATTGTTTTATTAATACTTTTAAAATATTTGAAGTCCTCAGTGAGAAGATGATCCTCTTGTGCTTGGTACAGTACAAAAACTTCATGGTATAGCATGTGCATGCCAAATAGCTGACACTGTTAATAGACACAATAAAAGGATGGCAGAGGAGGTATTGCATCTCTTATACTGACTGACAGCTATATTCTATATACTAAGGGGCATCAATCCAAAAATCTCTACACTCTCCCCCACATCTCTGTTTCCAAGTACATCCTGTCTTCTAGGTAATTATCTTTTTACACTGTACATCCCCAGGGCCAGGACTGTTTTATTAGTGAGCTTTGCATAGCACCAAGAACACCATCAGCACTAAACGTATTATTAATCAAAAATAACAAGCACAAAAAGAAGGTCTGTAAAATTGCATTTTCTATTTGCACTCATCCTGTGGTGAGTCAGTTTCAAATGTGCTCAGCTTACAAACCAACAGATTTATTCAACCCAGCATCTCAGAAACGCCACGTCTCTGACAATCCTAAAGAGCAGTTTCCATCTTTACGCTGTTTCCAATAAGGAAGGTTCTCCAAGACGAAATTTTTTATTGCAGTACTTCCTTGAGTGAAAGACAAATAATTGCAAATTTCCTATTTTATATACCAACATAGCATGGAAAGCAGCCCTTAGGTTAGCAGCAATATATTCCAGCCAGGGCAAATATGCTGAGATTATAGGAGATGGATGAACTTCCACTACATTTACTCTGAACCTTAAGTGACCCCAGATTGACAGATGCTTTGGCAAGAGACAGACTATTTCACAGCAAATGTAAAGCAAGGGAGGTGTTAGGAGCAGGAAATGTAACCAGGAAGATTTGAACATATGCGACATTTTATCTGCAGCTAAGGGAGAGGCGTGGACGACCTTCAGAGCTCAGAAACAAACAGATTTCCTCAAGCACCATGAAGCTCCTATACACAGAGCACCTCAGGCTCAGACCCCTTGGGAAGTACGACACAAAAAGATGGACTAAGGCTGCAGGATGGACAAAGGAATGCCATTAACCAGTAACTGGCAGAAAGCAGTCAACCAAGACTGCGCTTCAGTCCACTGCAGTGCAGGCAAAAGTTGGTTTAGCCCCATCATCAGATCAGGAAAGGCTGACCTCTCACCAACACTGAACACAGTTTGCCAATGTACTCCATGCAGCCTTACAGCCTGGCCCCATCTTCCCCAAGGATTTCACAGCTCCACCTCATTTTTGGTATTATTTATCGTATCACAGGGTGTACCAGGTGAATCCTCCATGAGGATTGCACATGAGCTGCATGTTTGACCTATGAGAATCACACAGTGCATGACCTGCATCTTGGCACAAGAGGTTCTCAACACTCTCATTTCCCATGAACAATTAGGATCAAATCCCTGGAATGGGATCTCCAGCACCATTTGCATTTCCTCAAGGAACACTTTTTTAAATTTACCTTATTACACAGGTGGTTTGAGATAGGCTGGTAATGCTAGAAATAAATTGTTCCTTACTTTTCTAATTTCAAGGGTTTTAGTAATAGTGCAATTCCTACAAATTTGCAAAAAATATTGTATTATGAAGCAATTTACCTAGAAGACATTAATATAAACTGCAGTAAGCAACCCTTGTAATATCTTTTGTCTAACACTGGTATTTAAACTTTAACATTTCAGTGTGAGCTTTTCAGAAGTATGCAGGACACAAAAAGCGTACTTCAGGATGCTGAAATCTGCTTCTGAGATTGGATTTTGATTCATGTGCCCTATTTATAGTTTTAATTAGGAATATGTTTCACGGGGTTCAGCATGATGCAGTCTGCAGTGTAGATTTGAAAACAGTTTTGTGTTGAGGAACCAAGGAGAAAGAAGGAAAATTAAGCTCACTTACATACATTTTTTCAGAGGGACTGTGCTGCCAGTACTGCAGTGAGTACTGAAACAATAGAAAACGAGAACTGATCAAAGGAACGATGCACAAAGCATGCTGTGACTATGCTTGTGAGACCTACTTACTTCAAATACTGCATGTACAGTAGCTTATGTCTTGTATTGATTATGTCAATAACTAGAAGCATAAGAATAACAAATCCTACTCAAAACAGAACACAAGTATTTCTGGGTGACACACAAGTTTTCTAACATCATTTTCAGTACCAGTGATAACTGACTCTAAGTAAAGCCTACTTGGAGAGGACACACTGGTCAGACAAATGTTTACCTCATGTTACAACTACCCAGGATCACAAGGGAAAGGCCACAGAAAGCCCTGTCCCATGCCAGTGAATCCTTATGTGGCACACTGTAAGTAAGAACATGCTCACTTAACCATTTTAGTCACTGTTTGTGATGGTTTTCTTATGATACCCTGGGAGGGGAACAGAAATGCAAAACACTTAAATACAGCAATATTTAAAAACTGACCCAAGACTTAAGAAAAAGTAGGTACAGAAAGTGAAACAGAACTGTCTTAATTCTAGCCTAATTCTGGAAAGAGGCTGTGCAAATCTAGCCTTTTTTCTACACATGTGTTTTGTATCTCATGTACCTAGGGTCACATTCATTCACTTATTTTGCTGATAAAGGTCCCTAACTCAAAACATTCAAGATTTTTTTTTAATATTCATTCTGCAGTCTTCCACAAAGGCCTCTGCTGAGCATGTCTGAGCACACATTGAGTGACCAGAGAATGTATTTCCAAAGTCAAATTGATATGCCAATAGTCCTGTACATCACAACAGCAAAAAAAGACAGAAACATTCTGCTTCATACAGCAACCTTAAAATTATTAATACCATTCCAAATGCAGATTATTTCAGGAATTATCATGCACTGCAGAAATCTTATTATATCGAATAACTGCTGTAAAACCTGCTAGGAACAAGCCAAAAAGACAAATAACTCACATGCAACTGTTTTGCCCAAGGAAACTCTTTTAATATGACCCTGTTTACTCAGTGAAAGCTTCTGTGAAGAAACTGGATTTTGAAGATCCTTTGCCTAAGTAAGGCACCTTTCACTAGGTTCCTTTGGGCTATTCTGAATATGTAACACCACTTGAATATTTATGTTATCTTTCAGCCAACATTCCTGAAATGTTTTTCAAACAGCTGACATGTCATAAATGCCTTTTCTTTCTTTTGTAGAGCAGTACAAAAATTTGCCTCCTCCCATGACCAACCACTTAATTGACACAATTGTAGTGTTGCCATGTAGACTGCAACATCTCCTACAAGATGAAAACGTCATTTTATCATAAACTGCCTTTTCCTGGTATAACTATATGAACACTGCAAGAGCACCAGGGATTATGTTAGTTTAGGCAGAGCAGGGAATACACAACTTTACACTGATATAAAGATGTAATCTCCCCAAAACTGCACTGAGGAACAAAAAGAGTAGGCATGTATACGGAATCCATCCCATTGTATTCTCTACCTCCTTTGCTGCTCTTTCACCATGCCCAACCCCAGCCTGGAGAAGCACCAGAACTCCTCTGGAAAGATATTATGGAAGGCATTTTCACAGCAATTTTTTTGTGCAGTTAAGACAAAGATGTGTGTTAAAACATGCAGCTCTTCCTCTATGTCTGGTTATGTACAACTCTCTAAAAAGAGTTCAAAACAAGCCTGTTTACTGGGAGGGAGCAAGCGATTAAGGCTCACTGGAATATCATACCTAAGAAAACATTCTGTGCTCTTTTCAAAAAGGCTGGAGCAAATTACAAAAATGTATTAATTTGCAAATTCAGAGATTACCTGAACTGCCATTAAAACAGATCTAAAGTTCTTGTAAATTAGCCTTAGTATCCAAGTATTCTTAGTCCTGATATTTGCTTCAGATGACTTCTGGCTTTTGGAAAGTCTTTTCCAAAGTAAGTCTTTAAATCAAAAATGTGAATCTTATCTTCACCCATGATAAACACATGAGCCTGTAATTTTTACTGACATTCTCACACTGTACTTTCTGTTCTCATGCACACAGAGCTTAAGAGAAGCAGAAAAAAAATCTCAGAAAAAAATCTCCACAGTGAGGAAAAACAACAGAATGGGAGTGGTCCTCTAGTACTTTCATTTATTCCTACTAATAGAGACTACATCAGACTGGTGAGGCACTAGGCTTCTGCACATATCCCAGAGAGACAGCTGCAACTTCACAAGGCCCAGGCCTTTGAAGCCCAGCACACATCAGTTACCATATAAATTCTGCCCCAGGAGAACCCACAAATCTGCTGCCTGCCCTGGCTGAGTAACAAAGCTGAACAGGACCCATCTTCCTCCTCCCCCTCTTCTCTCCCAAGATACCTAGAGGAGCCAGCAGCTGACACCATAGAGAAGCTGGCCTTGTAATGGTACTACAGGTACCACTTTGCTTCTCTGTAGCTATCATAAAATCAGATCCCTTCAAACTGCATGCAAACATGCAGCCACCTCCTCTTCCGCCCACATCAGTACAGAAACCTCATTTCCAGCAAGCATCCACTTTGAAACCCCAACCACAAGATTCCAAGCTCTTCCCTCGTCACCTCTCTTTGCGGCTCCCAAGCTTGCGGGACGTGTACAGATTGCCGTAGTCCACTATGGTGAGGTGTCGGGAGAACACGGTGACCTTGCTGCCCACATAGAGATCCTCGAGGTGCAAGCTCTCGTACTTGGTGCGCCTCAGAAACGTGCGACGGTTCTTCACATCGTACTGCAGCAAACACAAGAGTAAAATCTACCTTAGCAAGAGATTTAGTTGTGGGCAAACTCAACTTAATCTTTACCATCAGAAATTTCCATAGTATTGTGGGTCTGAATCTGATGGCTTAACTTGATTTCAAGCCCTTTGAACTTACAAGTGTACCAAGAAAGCTTAGAAGAGTAAACCACAATTACAAATTTATTCCATTTAAATAGTCTCAGGCCAACAGCTGTCTTTGAAATTTTTTTGGTTTGCAATTTGCTTGTTCTAATTCAAGCTGTGATAAAAGGTTCAGGTGTCTGGTGCATGTCTCTGCCCAGTCTCACTGAGAGTTCCCCCAGCACATCCATGCTGTTTCACGGCCCAGTGGCTCACACCAGAACGATCAGGATACACACACTGGCAGGTCTCCTCTTCAGGGCATCGCTCCAGTGATATTATGCTCTATTTGACTGCGTAAGACAGCATTAGGGACGGAGAGATGATTGCAACACTTGGCTGAGATGTTCTCACTGCCTAGAGCTGCAAGCTCAAAAGCCTGTCAGGACAATTCAGCTTTATGTATCATCACTCCAAGCAAGAAGCCAGACATTAATGTGCAGTTTTCTGGGTGGGCTGGCAAAGCACAGAAGTCAACCTGCTGAACAGTTCCTTTACTGCAAGTAAATATTATAGATGCCTTCCATTTCCCGGGGAAGTGGAAGCCTATGAAAGGAAAAGCTTTGTGCTCCTCAGGCCAAACTTAACCCTCTGTCTCAACCTACAGGTGCTGTCCTCCACTGCAATGGTGTATTCACTAGAAAAGCATTAGAAGAAAGAACATCATTCCCACAAATTTTGGAGGGGAAAAAAATTTAAGATGAAAATTCCATGTTCTGAAGTGTGTAAATACAGTTCCATTACAAGGATAAAAGAATTGTAATTGTTTTCAGGATAGCCAAAACTTTGCAGATTAAAGAATTGCAAAATATTTTGATACTTCCTTCTGCTGAAGCATGATTGTAAGGAGGAATCCTTGCTTGCTGAAACCTCCTTAGCCACTCATACATGCTCCTACTAAGTGTTCACTATTCAAATGTAGTAGGGAATCAAATGACAACATGGTAAGAAAAGAAAAAAAAAAAAAATCAAAGAAACTAACTTGAATTCATCTTCTTGTTTTCTCCCAGTCTTTGCCAGGAAGCCTATTAACTGTCTCAACCATAAGCAAATTATTCAATATCTTGACCAAAAATCTGAGTATTTCCTTGGTTATTTCACTAATGGTTGCTAGAAAGGCACCCCAAGGTGTTTCTCTTCTCTCAAGAAGAAGAGGGGATCTATCTGTGTTAAATGATTCTTCTTTAGAGTAGACTTTTAAATATGTTTAAAAGACTTATTTTATAAAGTTAATGATAAGCCACTGCAGAAGAAGTATATAACTGTTTGGACTGCTCCAGTCCTGCCCACGTACATGTAGAAGTAAATTACCCAAAACAAAATAGTTCTCTGTTAAGAATCTGCTCTTTTTAAAGATTTCTTCTCTCTTTTTAGGAAATCTTTTGTAGAAAGAAAAGTTATTAAGGCTTTAAGAATTCCCCATGAGAATTATTAACTATGGAAAACTCAGAGAACAGGGCCTCTGTGTCAAGAGATCCAGTTTGACTGAAAGAACTGCTTGCTGTCCTTGGACAAAAATCTATGCTGTCTTCTTACAGCTGCAAAGCTAGCTGGAAACTTCTCTCATTATTCCCACTGTCATTCTACTTCACCAACCAAGACATGAAGGAGAGAAAGAAAAGTTAAGCTCAGGACTTAATATCAAGCCTTCAAGAGCTCTGCTCCCCTCTCAGGTGAGGAGTGTGATAAGGGAAAGCTGTTCTCAAGGATGGGGGGGAAAAAGAAGCTGAAACATCTTTCTCATACGTGGGGACATATCCATCACCTCCCTTCTCTCAGATATGTTAGAGGTAAGAGAAGGTTGTCACCTTCTCAGGAAAGTACTAAAATATGCAGAAGAATTAGGCAGTAAAAAAAGAAAAAAAAAATCACCCAATTCTGCAGAAATTAAAAAAAAAAAAAAGAATCCAAAAAAGAGTTCTAAATGTAGTATCTGTCCACAAACTCACCCCCAAAAGTGATTTTGCGATATTATTTCTCTAAGGGTGTTCACATACATTTTTGCTCTTTTAATTCCTGTTCTGCCCACATGGAGTCTATGGCTGTGTACACACCATGCTACTTTAACCGAAGAGCACACCAACAAAATGCAGAAGTCTGCCAAGACATAGATACTGCATTAAGAAGCTCAAGAACACCTTGGAAGCTTTTGGTTTTGAGACGTGTAGGTGAAATGAACAACAATTTTGTCAGCCTACACATGGTTGTGTAGGAAGATTATTACAGCTCCTAACTGATCAGCTAAACTGTTTCTGAGAAATAAAAATTAGAAACCTCACATTTTGAAAACTGTGCACATAGACATCGTACAAAGAACTAACTTAGTAATCAGTGTGACATGCATCTTCTCACACAACTGGGTATTACTGCTTCAGTGAGGAGCAGTTTGGGTAAGAAAAGGCAAACTCCACTGGATTGGTTATTTCTGCAGTTGATTTCTATAGCAGGAAAGTTAAAATTTTATAATGAAATTACTAAGTGTGAATATCCAAATCTAGGCTACTCTTAGACTCTCCACTAAGAATCGGAACAGACTAGTGCATGCCACTCACTCAATCCTAAAAGGAAGCACAAAGCATTGGTTGGCATGAGGATTATGTTTACAGTACACATTATATTTTTATATACATGTCTGCTATTGCAAAATGCTGTTTTCACCGCTGTCAATAAGCAGTGGGATTAGTTGTATGAACCACAAGTCAGAAAGGTCTGTGCAAGCACCGCTGATGGAAAAATCTGGATCCCGCTGTCTGAAATGTCCTACCTCCCATTAAACCAAATTTACCATTTCCTCTACTTTGATAAGACTTTTACATTTCACTCTTCAGAGACTTCTGGAACTCCTGCTGAAGCTTATTCTCCTGACTGGAATTAGCTTCAGCTTACTTTTCTCAAGCAGTAGGTCAGAGTTGCTGAGTTTCAATTCTGAAACCCAAGCAGAGATTGAATGAAAATAGATTTGTGAAAATTAATCTCTCCACACCAAAGCAAGCTTTAAGAAAAAAAAATCATAAACGTGGAAGCTATTCCATATGCTTCACTGTGAACTCATATTTTTGTTTTTCTTTCGGTTTTAGAAACAGAGCAAGATACATTTTATATTAAATTTTCTTACCTGGAAAATAAAGAGGCATCGGAAATGGCTTGCCATTTTATGAACTGTTTAACTGGATATTACAGTTATGACAACAGAATTTTCTTCTTACATCCTTACCATTTCAATTGATGAATCTTTCGGATAATACAGAAGTTCATAACGCCGAAAGAGTGAAGCACTTGGGTCATACCATTCAGCGATGAAAGCATATCTCTCATCTTGACTCTGGAAAAAGAAAAGGGGCAAAACTGGCTATTACAGAAAGCATAAATATTCTATATATAAAAACACACAAATAAAAAACTTTCTTCATTTGTTATAAGTAAAAAAAAAAAAAATCACTTGTAAATGGACTTGCACACTTTGCATATTATCTCCTCCCTGCCACAGCTGGTGACATCTTTTCACTTGTTAACAATGATCTTTTAAATATGATGGAACTTGGATCATGGCTGTTTTCCAGACAATATCATAACTTACCCTGATTTCTCCAGTCAGGAAGCATGGACTACTGCTCTTGTTGGACTTCTCAACTTAGTCAAAGTATTTGATTTACTTTCTCTTGCTAAAAAAAATGTGTTCACCTACAATTAAATTCCAGACTCTTAACACATTTTCTATACATCCTACAAGGAAACACTTTCCTCTTCCTTAACAGTCATATCTAAACTTCTCTTAGTGATGAGATAAACATATTCAAGTTAAGAACAACATTTGTTTGATTCACTAGTTAACTTCCTGAAATTTACATAAAGCATAAATAGCCCGATCTCATTAACAACTCATTTTCTGCCCCTAAGGAGTGCAGATGAGGAAGATGGATTGCAGTAATTCCAGAAGTGTAACTACATGGGTAGTTTCTCTCCATGCCTCATCCTCAGAGGATAACAGCCCCCAGCAAAGCAAGCACAAAGGCACAGCACGTGGATGTGCAATCCTCGTTTCTCTTAGTGGTACATGCTCGTTAGTTATTCATGCAATATCAGTTATTGAATAGTTAGAACAGTTAGAAGGAGCTTTAAATTTTTAATTCCCACAGCTCCTCCAAATCTGACTGCTACTCCTAAGGGCAAGCACGGTCTTATCCCAGACTTCCACACTTTACACATATCTGTACTCTTCTCAGACTTTAAACATTGAGGAACCACTGGGAGTTTAACTTAAAGCCATGTGGGTCTTTTTGGTACTTCAGATTTTAGAAAAGGAGAGCATTTCAGTTGTTACAAAGATCACTAAATAAGCAAAAACAGAGTTCCTGTAAGCTTCCATGACTATTCTAAAACACCAGCAGGAAAAGAGTAGTAATTTTCCAACATCTTCAGCTTACTGCTAACTTCATGTTAAGTGCTTTTGCAGGTTGAAGTCCTAACAGAATCAGCAGAAGGAAAGAATGTGATGATGAAGAACAAATTCAGAATTTTACAATGTGATGAATACTAGTACTTTTCCAGTCAAGTGCATCATGGCAAATGCCCCACCCTTCTGTCAGTTTTTATGGTACCCCCTACACTGCAAACAAAGTATGATTGTACTGCAGAAACACTTATGCCATGGAGGCAGCACTGTGCCCCATGAAGGATGCAAAGTTTCCATTTCTCTCTGGAAAAGTCTGTGCAGCATTGGAATCTTATTAGTATCAGCTACTCCAACTTCTGTATTATCTGTACAGCACACACTGCAGGCTTTGACAAGAGTTAAGCTCATCTTTTACGTGCAATATCCAGCATGAGAACTCCCTAGGGACTTAGCCTGGTTTCCGGCCCTTGTTTGCGTCATTATTGCTACTGCCATTATTCTGGAGGTATGCAAATCAGAACAAACTCTGTCTTATGGAAAAGCTCACTCCTGATTTTTCTGTATAGGCAATAAGCAGTAATAAGGGTTGGCAGACTGATTTCAATTTTAATCTTGTATTACTAGACAACAAGATATTTGATCAATTAATTTGACTGACCATCACCTTGTCAAGAATGGATTTTATAGAGAAGCAGTTCTCTGCCAAAGAGGCTGTCTAAAAAAAGAAAAACAGTCCAGTTTCATGGAACCATAGAATGGTCTGGCTTGGGACCTTAAAGATCACCCCATGGCAGGGGCACCTTTCACTAGACCAGGTTGCTCAAAGCCCCATCCAACCCTGAACATTTCCCAAGATGGGGCATTTTCAAGTACTACCTCCATAAAATGACTACTGATGGATGATATAATATAGATCTTTAATCAATCACCATCTTTAATCAATGCCTCTTCATAACATGGAGACATGTAATTGCATTACTACCTGCTACTTTATCATGTTATAGCATTGCTTCCAACTATCTTTTCCAGGTAGCAGCTGCCAAGAAACTACCAACTTTCATTTAAGTAAAATTTCTAGAATTTGTAAATGCTTATTTGTCTCAGGGAAGTAATGTATCTATGTGAACAACCAAAGAAAGCACCACTGGATTTTTCACTTAGTCACCAGTATCAATCACCAGCACCTTTATGTTTACAGTGAGAAACTGCATTGTGTGCCTTGTGTACTGAGGAATTGGTCTCTTTTTTTCTTTTTTCCTTTTAATACAACCTTGGTTTTAAGAATTCAAATTTAATTAAGAATCTGAAATTAATTTTATAAGCTTTTATTCAATGTCCGAGCTATTAACATTAGTTATTCAGCAAGCTCTGCTGGCCACTGAATAGCAGAAATCACCATTCTGTATTATCTTCTTTTGGCATTGTAAGCAAACTCAAGGTAATAAATGCTACTTAGATTTGAGAAAAACTGCAGAGCTAATCCCCAAACACCCAGAAAATGCTATCAGTAAGCAGGACAGCCTGAATCCATTACTGTTTTTTGGAGAAAATATGGAGACCTAATATTTTTCTGAAATGACCAAAACAAATTCTCTAAAGCTTCTCCTGAGCCATAACTAGAATCTTCTCTAGTTTATGGACACAGAACTATTACAACAAATATTTATACACGTAGAAAACAGTATCAGAAAAAATGTCAAAGCTTATGAGAAACATTCTAAAAAATAACTGGAAACATTGTATTTGTGAACGTGTCAATTGTTTCAGAGGCAGACACTACAAAGTGAAGAAATTCAACATTGAAAGCGAACTGAAGACCCTGCCAAACAAGTACCTAAAACACAGCAGGACTCCCATCTTACTATTGCAGATTCATGCAAATAGTTCTTTGATTGTGACTCAGTGACTCTGAAATCAGACCAAAGAGAAAAAGAATCAAAGGATTTGAATCATCTCCTAATGAAGCAATAAAAAGACTGCACAAACCACGGTAAAAGCTGAATCCGAACCATCCTGATATCTGTGTTCTATATTTTGTAAAACTCTGCTGTCACAGGGAAAACCTCCAGTAAAGCACAGACCAAGCTGTTTCTATGAAAATCACTGGGAACAGGATGGACCAGCAAACAGGAACTATTCTTACACCAAATGGGCATTTCTCCTAATACCATCAGAAAAGCTTTCTGGAAACGTTGCTCTGAAGCTTCATAAAATTCTTAAAATAAACGATTTTAAGGGAATGTTTTTTCACAACCTGCTCCCCCCTCAAACCAGGTTGATGGCACTCTCAAAAATACTTTGGAAGAGCAAGAGTATTTTTATTAAAAATTAGATTGTTTCAAAGCATAGGAATACAAATTATTATAAAATATTTCAGGTAAAGATATCATGAGGCTGATTGACTCCAACATCAGGTAGTCTGCTTATGCATTAACATGTACTTACCTTATGTTTTAGAAAGAAACAAGGTTTAAAAAAATCACAAATGTGTAAGAGTATAAGAGCTTGGGGGGAAAAAAAAAAGCTGAAATGGCCAATGAAGAGATACCTTTATCTTTTTATCTTTCCTCTTTATAGTTTCTACAAAAAAACACCAACTATTGCCATATGTGCTGGTGTATTCCTTGGACAGATGTTGGCCTTGTGCTCTTCAGACAGGGTGAAGTGAGGGACCTGACCAGCTGCCTTCCCCAGGAACATTATTTTCAGGATAAGGCCCAGAAACTGTTGTTATAAAAATATAATCAACCTCCAAAGTCCAGAAGCTACTGCTACAAATGTATGACCAATGTCTAACAGCAGGTATCTAAGTCCTGTTATGAATCATTTGAAACAGGTCCTCAAAGCTCTTAAATCTCCAATCACTGCTCTTCCAGACCAATCCCCACTTCAGATTTAATGCTACTGCCTAGTCCTGAAGAGGACTTCAGCACAAATGAAAAGCAGTAGCTGACAAACTCCTGGTCTGAGGAGCAAGAGCCAAGAATTCCAGCCAGAAGCAGCGACTCACAGTGTTCTACTCCCCCCACAGGCCAGTGACACAAGCACTGTCACAGCAGCACCTGCTTTCTTAAGAGCCCCAGAAATAGTCTGATTGCTTTAAATGGTTACTTGTTAGCTTTTCTATTCTCCCACTTTTAACATCTGGCAAGCTTTATTTTCAGCTGAATGCTTTTAGATGCAGGCCCAGCACGATGCCAAACTTCTCACATAGCACCAAGAGGTCACAAATTCAGACCACAAAACCGTAACTTCAATTAGTTTAAAAGACAGTCTTAACCACTGGGTTAGGAGTGCTACTCTTTCATGGAAGGGCATCTTAAATGTGACAATCCTCTGCAGACATACAACTGAAAAAGAAAATTCAAAAAAAATTACAACAATTGAAATCTCTAAAAAAATCTCTTTAAAAAATCAAGTACTTCTGCATGAGAAATAATGAGCCTGGTTCTCTATATTCACATTTCTCATCCCTGACTGTTGTGACCAGAGCCTCTCTTCAGCTCAGGCGTTTAATAAAGGCCCATACCCACCTGGGATCTCTGGTGTCTAACTATGGTTGAGCTCACAGTGAACTCTAACATTCTGCATGGCAGAAAAGTGCTCTGATTTTCAGCATTGTAGTGCACCTTAAATCCCAAAATAAATTCACATCAGTGCATGCTTATTAAGCTGTGTTATTCAAGCCATCTTCTGCCTTCACAGTTTATGTAATACAGGATATTTTCCAGGCAAAACTTAAATCCACAACACTGTGTAGATAGAGCACTCAATTAGCTCTGTCTCTTAAAGCTCATTTTCCTCCTCCTCTTCTATTCATGTTTCTGACACACGAGCTGGAATAATTTTTAGAACTCCAATTTTGCAGCCCCCTCACTGCTGTTGTACCTCCCACTTCTTTCTCAACAGGCTTTTCTTTAGTGAAAAAGTAAAATCAAAAGATCACTTTTCAAAAGGAAAAACATCTGGCAACTGCAATTTTCATGACAATGTCTTCACTACAGACAATTCTCAACCTTGTATTCAAAAGCTCACTGATGAATTTTGTAAGCGTATCTCTTTTCATCCTCTCTTTGCAGAAAACAAAGCCTACCTAGTGAAAATATCACACAAATTCTAGACTATTTCAAATTAAGGAAATATTGGATAACTTACTAACATTCTTAATCATATTTAAAATCTATTGAGTCAAACACTCTTCTGCATTTGTGTTTACCCTCCTCCAACTGGTCCTACATCCTTTGGATCCACAGACTTCCAATATTACCAGTCCCTAGGCTTCTCAAGTGCCTTTTGGACTGGGTATGTTCATATGGCTACTGCTGCTTGAACCATCTGTTGCCAAGTAGCATGTGGATACTTCTGTCCCTGTAGCACTAACTAAGGGAATCTTCCTCTTCAACTGGGACCTCAGCTCAGTAAATCATCCCCTTATGCTCAGGCATTGTGATAAACACAGCTCTAGAAGGCTGAAGGCCTCAAATATTTTTCTCAGATTTAGGAATCTGCAATTCCACGTCACATCAGCAAATTATCTGTTCTGTCGATTTACTAAGCAAGAAATCTGCTTTTACTACTAGATTATGTAAATTATGTAATCTTCCTATGAAGCATGTAGGCATGATTAGTATAACCTAACCTTTTCCCCCCCCATCTCTCATATAAAATAATCAAGAATTTAAGTTCTCAAGCAATAACTTCAATCCTCTATATGTCATACTTAAGTACTTAGTTACAGAATTCATATTATTATTCTAGTTATGGAAAAAATTTTCACTAAAACACATGAAGGATGCCATACTGCTCCTCACAG